CAATGTAGGAAAATTAAGGTTACATTGGAAAGTATAATGCATTCCAAGATAAATTTAAGAGATAAAACCAGCACCATATATAATACAATATCTGATACATGAAACACACTGCCCGAAGTAACATGTCTTCGTCCGAAGTTTTCCTTACGTTTGTCCAATGTCTCCCGCAGAGTGGAGTGATTTCGGACTTCTGGGGGTATCTGTGGTATTAAAACGTGAAAATGCAAAACGCTGATACCGCTAGTGGTGATACCTAAATGGCTTACAATAATGATGAAACATTTTTCTTTGGCATACATTCTTCCTGGATTGACCGGTGGTGCCAAAGGTCAAAAGTGTCCGAAGATGTGTATGCCGTTCTCTGTATTCTGCTCTTCTTCTCTCCACCCCCACCCCCATCTTTCCACACAGCAGCAGTTCCTTTAGTCCATTTAATTCTATGTGGCTATAGAATCTCGGTGATCCCGTTCTGTTTGTTCTGATTATAAATGTTTCACAATTTAAGCACGTCTTATTTTGTCTCCCTCGCTTTCCATGAAATTATTCTCCCTAAGTTATTGTTGTATTGTATTGTAAAGCGCCACAAAATACCCCCCGAATCTGAGAGGTCTTTAATACTTTGGGAAAGAGCCGACGTCAAACCGACCAGCCCAAAGATGTGTTCGTCTTGGCTTTAATATCGTGGCTTACACAAGATTTTCATGACACAGGTGGTAATGACACATTGTTCATCGGCACACATAGAGATTAGTAACAGCTACTTGCGCGGTGTGTTGAGAAATGGTATGGTATGGTATGGTATGGTATGGTATGGTATGGTATGGTATGGTATGGTATAGTATGGTATGGTATGCTATGGTATGCTATGGTATGCTATGGTATGCCATGGTAGGCCCATACCATAGTAGGCCTTTAATATTGTTGGTAGTAAGGCACAGAATTAACATTGTTGAATCCTAGGATTTCAAACATAAAAATATAATGTTGACGATGTCTCTAATTTGAAGCATATCAAGTTAGTCATGTTCTGAAAAGAAGGAAATAATAGACCTACTTTCACTTGGAAGGGCCACGTTGTCTATGTCTTTCTCCCAGGCAAAGCTCTATTATGCACCTTGCTTTAAGATCTGCTTTCTTTATGCAGGAAAAGTGCGTGTATGCCTTTGTGTGTGTGTGTGTGTGAATATGTGTGTGTGTGTGTGTGTGTGTGTGTGTGTGTGTATGTTTGTGTTGGGGGGGGGAGTGAAGGTGTGTGTGTATATGTTTGTTTGTGTCTCTGAGTTTATGTTTGTGTGTGTGTGTATGTGTGACTGCCTTTACGTGTATTATGATGAATGTAGATAAATGATTTTATGAGGTCATATGTCGCCCAAATGACCAATTTCATAATTACTGATGTAACGCGCTTATAGCCCTAATAGGGAGTGGGCGCTATAGTTACTCATTATTACAGCATCTCAAGACTGATGATCTTTTGGAAGAACTGCCATTCATTTCGTTCAATACTATCTTCGTATTCGTTTGAAAAATTGGTGTCAACTGAAGGGGAATTTTGTTATCCTTTCAACTGTACCAAAAACCAAAAGTATGAAGATGTGTACCATGTGGACCAAGCCGTCAGGACTAGACACATTACTACCCCAACGGACAACTTTGTGAATGGCAAAAACTACGTTTATTGAGGGACCTCAAAGCCCAATAAAATTTACGATAAAGGCCTATGTGGTCAGAAGGAGACTGTGTGGGCCACGTTTTGCTATGACGGGGGGCATCATCGAGCCTATTTTCTTCCTCGATGGAATACAACATCCCGTCACAGAGAGCTCAGATTGATAGATCGACATCTGGGAAAGTTATGGAGAAGCTTGAGTTTTTTGTTGGGGCCTTAATGAGACAACCAAAAAAAAAAAATCTCAGGAAGATGGAATGAACTGCATGT